GAAAACCTTTCTCTTTCATGTCTGTCGATGCTTAATCAAAAAAGCGCCCTGTCATTTAGTTCTGCATCCATGTCCAATTGCATTACATAGCCCTACTGATAAAACTAACCTCAAGTTGTTTGATGCAAGGTGCACATTTTATTCTGCAAAGAAAAATGAAACTGGATAGAATGTGAATGAAAGTAGATCTGAGGCAATTGGAATGCACACCTATTTTTTCTGTTAAGTAGAGTCAAAGCCTAAGAATTAGGCACAAAAATTGACTGTATTCTTTTGTATTTTTAAAACCAGTTAGGGTCAATTTCCAATTATAAAAATGATTTCAGTGCTTCATAGGAGATTCTAATAAATAAGATTGTCTGAATTATTATTATTCTTTTTATGTATCTGTTATCTGGGCTGCATGATAGGAGGTCTTAGACCAGTTTTATTATAAGCTGTTTCCATCATATTATAGTTCCTAATTTGTATATTGGTATATGCTGGATTTGCAAATTTCTCTACATATACATAAAAGGTCATACTGGATTACAATTTAAGTACCATTATATAAAAATGAATCCGCCATATTTCAATACTTATTATTTTGGCTGATCCTAATCCACTGAATTCCAGGCTGTGTAGCATTTAGGGATGTACATTTATTTCACTGTATTTTTATGTGATTTTATCTCACTTTTCATCCACACTGAATACTCAAGACCACTAACAATAACTAGAATATAAAATAGAAATCAAAGATGAAACCCAATTTTAAAATTATTAACAAACAAATGCCTGTGTCCACTGTCAGGCCTCCGCTCCAGTTGCACCCGTGACCTCTCCCCCCTCCCGGTTAGTGACAAGCCCACAGGCGCTTGACATCCATTGGTTACAGACAGAGAGAGTGGAAACACAAAGCAATACAAAGTTGTTGCCAGGGGGTAAGGGTTTATTGGGTTTTGCATTTGGGGTTTTACTTCCTGGAATCACTGTAAGTTGGGTGGCCATATAAATTTTATCAACAGAAAAGAATATTTGTAGCACAGGGCTGAACTTGGGGTCCTTGCTGTTCTCTGAGCTTGGTTGTTTTTTTTGCAGATATTTCATTACACTGATGATGTTACCTAGTTGGATAATAAAACGTCTGCAAGAAAACAACCAAGCTCAGAGGGCACCAAGGACTTCACATATAAATTTTCTTAAAAAATAAATAAGTGCAGTCCACAGTAAGTACTACTTTCTTCAAAAGAAGATTGCCTTTCTTGAAAATGAATGGGTTTTTGTAATTTGGAGTGGAATGGGAGTTCAGAAGAGCCTCTTCTCCTAATCTTACTGTCTGTCCAGGTTTGCAACAAGGGACAGTCAGACGTTAAGATATTCAGGGCTTAAACATTCAGCTCAACATCTTAAATTAAGCCTGTGAGAAGGTGGCAGGTAGCATAGATTATCGAGCATGCATAGCTAGTTATTTAGGAACATACAAAGTAGTTTATCCCCAACTTTTCAATCATTTGAAGTTTCTACACACCTTTCAAGAATTATTCGATAAAGAATAGAAAGCTATATTCAAGATGGGATAAAACCAAAGCATAAATAGCTTTTGCCATCTCAGGACTAAATGGCAGATGGTACACAAACATAATTTGAAAAATGCACTGATAAAGCTGACAATGTCCTGATAAGAGTCTGACATCTAAGGATCAAGAAACTATTAACAGAGTTGTTTGCATTTGGTATTGTTGTTACGATGATGAGCTAAGGGGATGGAGAACTGTTATAATGGACTGCTGCATATTAAAATTTATCACTACATTACTAATACTGAGTTTTGCACTGATACTCCTAGCACTTTGAAATATTGGCCAGATAGAGGCTAAACAAAGCACTTTTATAGGTTCCAGAGGAAGCATTGCAGCTGTTATTTTTATATTGGTATGCTGTAGCAAGGGAATGTTTTAAGAAAAAAATATTTTAATTAGAATATTACAACAAACCAATTAGCCAACTAGAAATTTTCCATTCCTTGCTCACAAAGCCAGATATGAAAACGGTTGCATGATTAATTCTTAGAATAAAATATTTGTCTACTAAACAGATGCTCGTGTTCTTCGTGCATAAAAAGGTAGCAATATTCAATAACAATTCTAAGCCTGAGGTCATTTGATAAAATTAGCATTGAATCAACATCTAGGAAAATCGGATCACTTTGAAATGCTTTATTAATATATTTACTGGGTGTAACCAAAACTCATCTGAGTGGTTATAGAAATTTGGAAACAATTTAAGGCTAATATGTTTTTTTAATCTCCAGCTTTGATGACTATTGCTTGTTATATGACTCTATCATCAAAAGTAAACTTTTGGTAGAGCAAGTATCCAAAACCAAGCCTCTTTTTAGTAGATTAGGATGCTCTAAAATGGATAAGACCTTAAACTGAATGGAGACACGTAGTCAGTTTGCTTGGGATATTAAGAGAGGAAATCTGAGAATTTGTCATTGTTGCCTGTGTCATTCCCTGCAGCTGATGATAGAAACGATGTGCCTTACATAATTATTGTCCCTATTCAAGCAACCGTGAAATATGACCACTGTTTTACATAGGTTAAATCTATGAGTTTTGCTGTTGTTGCTGCCATGAATTTACAACTCATTATTTTTGCATTGTTAAACTTGTGAGACTGTTATGCAGGATTTCTTTGTATGCAAATCACATACGTTACTGATGTCCCAGTTCTAGGAAATCCACCTTATATATTGAGATTATACTAACCAAGGTCTTTGGTGTTATATTAGTAAAAATAAAACTTTGAGAAATGCATTACATGTATTTTAAGACATTGGTCACTTGAGCCATGCTTAGTTGCTTCCTCCAGTCTTTTCAGCTTCTTTGGTAAAAACATCATTATATTTTTATATTGCAATATTGTTGACAATAGCTTAGACCAGCTAGGCAAGGCTTAGATTGTACAATAACTTTGTCATCATTTTTATAGTGATTTAGATTGCACATAATTCTAAAAGGTCATAATACTCAGAAGTGGAATAGTGCTACTATACTAATACAAGTTTCAAATTCTAATGCAAACCCTGTCCCTGCCATGATTATATGACACCTCCCAAGTTTGAAAGAAATAACATTTGCAGAGCTGTATCACTGTGGTTAAAATGTAGTAACTATTTCTTCACTGTAAAATATGTGAACAATGTCTAAGATGCTGGCAGCAGGGGGAATTCTTAGAACATAATGATTTTTATTAATATGAAAAACTGGGTTTCAGTTCTGCAAATGTAATAATTTTGTGACAATAAAAGGAAGAAATCTGAACAGGGAGTTCAAACATAATGATAAAAAGAAGTCTGCGTCACAAGCAATTTTGGAAGCATTTTGATGGCAAAATGATGATACCCTCATAGTGCCATCATCATATAAATACCACATATACAGTAAATGCCGCATATAAATTATGTACTTGCATCCCAACCATGGCATCATGGTTTACATTAACATGCGTTTTTGGTCATTTCCTTCCAACCTCAACTCCTCTGAGTATTTTTTTTTTTTTTGTAAATAGTGATTTATGATTGTCTTTCAAACCTGAAGAGGAAACTGTAGTTGAAAATAGATTTCTAAATCTCATTTAGAGAACAAATGCAAAACATGATTATCCTTTCAGAAGCAATGATGAACAATGGCTTTCTTGAAACTGGTAATCAAAGAGATTTTTGACGTATTTAATGGGAAAGGACGGTTTAAACTCAAGACCTCATCCCAAAATAGGATTTCATCATTGTACCTGAAATGACCTCTGCTGTAGTGTTTGCATACAAAAGGTGAGTACTGGCACAGGACAATGTTGTATTTCTGGTCATGGGAAATAATGGGTGCATGAGTGAGCCAGGAGGATTTTAAAAATCAGTGCTTGGCAGCGCTTTTGTAGTTCAACAATGAGCTATGTATGTTGATGACAGCAATAAGTAACAGGGTTAAAACAATCTATCATTTATTATGATCAGTGAACTCAGCCAACATCTACACTGGATGACAAGAGTTCTCCAAGATCTTATGAGCCATTCTGTTCCTTGACATTTCTTTTAACTGGAGATGTTAGGAACTGAACCTTAGCCTGTAAAATCTTTTTACAAGATAGTTTAGTCTCATTAAGGCACCAGGCTAGAAACCTGAAGATTCTAAAACCTCTAGGAGGTTCTAGTACTGCCCTACGTATGAAAGACGGCTGGGTGACCTTGGGCCCGTCACTCTCTCGCAGCCCAACTCACCTCACAGGGTTGCTGTTGTGTGGAAAACAGGAGGAAGAATGAGTATTCAATATGTTTGCCGCCTTAACTTGTTTATAAAAATAATAGGCAGGATTATAAATAAAATGTATAACAGTAATAATAAAATATATTAAATCTTTTTCATATTGTTCTGTAATTATGGTTTCACATACCTGAACGCCATCGGATGCAGGGATGTAACTTGCTCTTTTAAATGTATCTGTAACATTTCTGAGAATTTCCACAGAAACTAAAAGATCCCCTGCATAAAAATTCTTCCTTTGAGTTAAATCCAAAAGAGTCTTCGTCACCTGAGACATTCCTTCACCAGCCAGCGTCCTCTGTCCTTTTGCAAGATGTTCTTTAATCTGTAAACAGTAAAAGGAAAATAAAAACATTAGAACCTATTCTAGAACATTTTTTTTAAATGCTACAAAGATATTTGCTTGCCTCACACATTGGGATAGGGTCAGAAGAGTGTATAAAGTTGTGACCTGGGCTTCACTTTGTGATTGCTTGCTTTGAGATCTTCACACAGTTAGAACCTTTCCCGAAGTTTCATTGTATTGTTTCCATTGTTCATTTGTGTTTATTTTAGTGTTTGAATGTTTAGGGCAGGGATAGGCAACCTTGGCTCTTTTATGACTCGTGGACTTCAACTCCCAGAATTCCTGGCTGGCTGAGAAATTATGGGAGTTGAAGTCCACGAGTCACAAAAGACCCAAGGTTGCCTACCCCTGGTTTAGGGTATTGTACTGTATATACATTAAAATTACACTAAAGGGAGATGCGATGGAAAAAAGTTTAGGAATTCCTACTATAAAGTATATACTACTTGTATAAACTATACAAGTTCAAGAATTCCATTGTATAAGGTGCTGAATAAATGCTTTGAGTCAAAACATTTACACTGCTCATACAGACCTTTGTGTATTTACTATGATACTTAGGAGCATGGAAATGTTCAGAACCAGACTCATCTGCATGCTCACAGCTGCTCCTAGTTTTAGCCCTATTATGCTGTGGGCTAACACCTGCACGAGGCTTATAACATTACTGAAATAATTTACAGAAATTATGTAGTGTGTGTGTGTGTGTGTGTGTGTGTATCAGGAGGCTGGAAAAATCCAACTACTTAACTCTTCACATAATAAAATGCTGGTGCATGAACTGAAGAATCTGGAGGATTATTATTTTTAAAAAAACAGCTGTAGCTTTATATGGAGCCTTCATACATATTTTCTATGAAAACCAGACATCACTGCACAAATAACCACTTTACGACAGCAAATAACCACTTTATGATAGCAATCTACATTCTATTCAAGTCACTGGCAAAGCATTGATTTATAGGTTCTTTTATATTATGTATGTCATGGAGATAAGTGTGAAAAGAATAGCATAGTAGAATCTGACTGACTCAGACTTGCTGCATTTTTGAGCAATTTATCCCCTAAGATGAGCAACTGATGGGATCAAAACATGCTGGAATTTATTTTAGCATAGCATAATAAGTTCTATTTTACCCAGCTGATTTCTTAAGAAGTAAAATCCAGCTCTATGCAATTGCCAGGTGACAGTCTTTTTCTCTATATCCCTTTGCTGTTTTTTTTTTTTTTAATTTGAATGGATGTTGTGGTCTAAACCACATAGAATCACTCTGTGAGGCAGGCGGGCTGTTTCTAAATGTGATATATAAACAAACACTTTTAAGAGTAATGAATGGAAAAATCCTCTTTTTGTCTATGTAACTGGACTTGATATCCAAGTTACTATAGAACTTCTCCTGGCAGTCACATTTGCACATGGAAATGGTGATAAGAACAAAAACTTGTTCTTGTTGAAAGAGAAGAACTATAAACTGCTATTCGCATATATTCAGGAGCTCTTTATTGCATAATTTCTGTTCTGTTGCCCCCATCTTACATATCTTATTTGGAAAAGCACACACAACAGGACCAGCAGAATAAATGATGAACAGGGAGAAATCCAGTGGCTTCAAATGGATAAACGTTTAAACCAACAGAACTGAGTATGACATGACATGAAGTCAAGGGATGATCCTAAAAGATATCTTCTTAGGGAGAAAAAAAGGCAACCTTGGATTAAATAACAAAGAGACTCAGAATCGTATGTAGAACAGCAGAGTCTATTCTAGCCAAAATTGTCCACCGAGTAGATAGCAAAGGGTCATACTGTTTTTTTCTACAGGGAAGACATAATTATATAGTAGGTAAACTACATTTTATCTCCTTGATTGTTATTTTTTTAATAACAACAGAAAAATGTATTATAGCTCCAGTAAAATAAGTGATCCCTTCACTGTGTATTAAATATTTTGACAGCAAAATATAGAGAAATTAAAGCACTGTTGTGGCTTTATCTTGACTATGAAATATTTCCAAATTATGCACCAAAAACCATTAGATTCTTATATTGCCTACTTATCAATGATGAGTGAATATATTAATATTCTGTTGGCAAAAATTGTTTATATCAATAAGTCAGTAGATTAAACATCTGTCAAGATGTTTTGACAAGAGCAATCCAGATTTGGTTAAACATCCTAGCTTCTCTTTTGTTCCTGTGACGCTAACAGTGGTAAAGGTGCATTGTGTTTTGAGTTACTGAGTAGAGATGTTATTTCTTGATATAGTTACCTACAAATACGTATATATAATTATTGCATTAATACTGAGCTTCTGGTCACTTAAGAAAACTGTTTAGATCAACATACATTTTTATTTTCTACATGGAGGGTCATATTTGTAGTGATCTTATATGTGGGCTTATTAACATTTCTATAAGCCAAAGGTGATGAAATAAAGCAGCTTTTGAAATACTATTTCATTTGCTGTCTTCCTCCTGTGGTCAAGGTAATAGGCATATAAATGAAATTGGTCTTTCAATACTTGTGGACATTGATGCTCCTACGGATCTCTGGATAAAACAGTTTTGTTGTAAGACATTTCAAACCGATTCTCGTTATATGTGGATAAAGTAAAGGTCAATGGTATCAATGTTTTTTTGGTGGGTTTCATCCCATTATTCGTATATGTTTTCAAGATTCCTTATAAGTGTTCTACTTAATACTTTTTATGTCCAACTCTTAAACAATGCAGGTGTCATTATCAGTAAATTAATTATTTAATTTATATCTTTTAGGCTAGAGAATTTAAAGGCAAATTATACGTCCCTAAGTTTATGAACAGAACTCCAAGTGGCTCAAGTACAGTAGGAATATTCCTCATGAGTTAAATTTAACCACGGCATGAAGCAGTTATATTTTATTGTAGGTATTTCTACATATAAATATCATTTGCCATTTGGATTCTATCACATGAGCTGCTTATATTTTATTACTCTGTAAGAAACTTCCTTCCTTCCTTCCTTCCTTCCTTCCTTCCTTCCTTCCTTCCTTCCTTCCTTCCTTCCTTCCTTCCAACAATTCTCTTGTTGCCATAATTTTCTATAAGGTATGTTAGGCTGAAAGAAAGTGAGGGCTTAATAACTCTTGAACTTCAAAGATCACCAGTTATGTTTATACAGAGCCCATCCAGCTGTGATTTCTGCAGGGTTGGCTCTTGTCTTTACTTCAGTTCCAACTGTTCTGTCACTTAACTCTAGCTACAAAATGTTGCCCTTCCAATTCATGATGCCTAAAATTCATCAGGGTAGGATGTTGTTAAGGGCATATTATATCAGATGATACTTATTTTGGATAAAATATATTTCTGCTCCCATTACACTTATGCATGAGTAGCTCCAGTGTTAATATGTAGTTTGAACTGTTTATTTTTAAGTATATACTGTATTCGTGTGATGTTTTGATTATAATATCAGTGTGAATAGTTTTGCTACTTTTTGGAACTGTTAATGAAGAATTTTGAAATGTGCTAATTATCTTCATCTTTGAATTCTTCCAAGCAATTGAAAATACTGCTCAAACAAACATGTGACTGTAGAGTTGCTTAATTGTATAAAATAATTGTCATTGTTTTCCCTTTATATCTAGACAAGATAGTAGATAGATGATTTTTCCAATTTTTTTCTAAGCAAATATACTTCGTTACTTTTTTTTAATTTGGTATCATTTTGAGCATGGATCAAAGAGTAAAAGAGCATAAACAAACAGAAGAATCAAGTTTCTCCAGTATTACTCCAACATGAAATGGTGGGTCAATGGAAGATAATAAGGAAAGGCAAAATGAGTAGTGATAATGAGCTAAATGAAACAAAGTCGAATGGAAATAAAGATTTGAAAAGGTACCATTAGAAATAGGAAAAGAACTTAGGATAATAATAATAATAATAATGATAAAGTTGGAAGGGACCTCAGAGGTCATCTAGTCCAACCTCCTGCTCAGGCAGGAAACCCTATACAATTTCGGACAAATGGCTGTCCAGTTTCTTCTTAAAAACTTCCAGTGTTGGCGCATTCACCGCTTCTGGAGGCAGGTTGTTCCACTGGTTAATTGTTCTAACTCTCAGGAAGTTTCTCCTTAGTTCTAGCTTGCTTCTCTCTTTGGTTAGTTTCCACCCGTTGCTTCTTGTCCTGCCTTCAGGCGTTTTGCAGAAGAGCTTGACTCCCTCTTCTTTGTGGCAGCCCCTGAGATATTGGAACACTGCTATCATGTCCCCCCTCGTCCTTCTCTTCGTTAAACTAGACATACCCAATTCCAGCAACCGTTCCTTATATGTTTTAGCCTCCAGTCCCCAAATCATCTTTGTTGCTCTTCTCTGTACTCTTTCTAGAGTCTCAACATCTTTTTTACATCGTGGTGACCAAAACTGGATGCAGTATTCCAAGTGTGGCCTTACCAAGGCATTGTAAAGTGGTATTAATACTTCATGTGATCTTGATTCTATCCCTCTGTTAATGCAGCCCAGCACTGTGTTGGCTTTTTTGGCAGCTGCA